AAGCTTATAAATCAATGTTACTTTGTGGCTTTTCCAGGCATATTGTGTTATTTGTCTCTCTTTCTCCCCTCTCCCTCTGTATTACCCACCCTGTCCACTTCACAGTTAAAATCTCCCCTTCACATTTTCCCACCCCCTATTTCATAGCATTGATGTCATACCTTGTTTCTAGAGCTCCCTCTTACCCTCCCTTCGTGGTCTTCCCAAAGCTAGTTTTCAGCTGTAAAGAAAAATGAAATCATAAAATTTGCAACAAAATGGATGAAATTGGAAAATATTATAATGAGTGAATTAATGTAGACCCAGAAGGACAAATACCATTTCTCTCTTATTTGTGCATCCTCACCCCAAATCTTTAGATTTGATGATACAATACAAGGGAAGTTTTAAATCGATATAAGTATTTACTCAAATACATACCATTTCCATTGTGTTTCACCCAGTTTTGTATACTAAGCGTTCACTAACATTCCTAAATGATATTGCAATGGTTTGAATATGCTCCCTGAAGTCAATGTAGCAATGCCAATTGTGGTGATTGGGAGGTGTTTGGTGTATTAGTTACTTTTCTATTGCTGTGAAAAAAAAACACCATGACTAAGGCAACTTATAAAACAAACTTATAAAACAAAGTGTTTAATTGAGTTTATAGTTTCAGAGGGTTAGATTCCATAATGACTGAGTGAAGGCATGGTGCAGGAACAGCTGAGAGCTCATATCTTGATCCACAAATAGGAGGCATAGAGAGAACACTCGGAATGATGGGAATCTTTTGAAATCCCAAAGCCTGCTCCTCATGAAACACTTTCTCCAACATGGCCACATTTTCTAATCTTTTCTAAACAGTTGCATCAACTGGGAGTTATGTATTCAAACATATGAGCTCATGGGGGCCATTCCCATTCAAATGACTACATTTAGGTATATGAGGGAACACTTTCATGAATGGGTTCATGCCATTATTGTTGGAATGTGTTCCTTATGCAAGGATGAGTTTGGTTCCTGGTCTCTTTCTCTGGACCTCTAATTGCCTTTCACTGCAGTATGTCAAGAATGCTTCATAGTCTCTCATTGTCCCTTGATTTTGGACTTTTTAGCCTCTGAAACCAGTTGCTAATACATCTGATCCTTACAAATTACTCAGCCTGTGATGTTCTATAACAGCAGTAGAAAGTAGACTAACAGATATAGTCACTGATTTCGGCTTATGGCTTTAAAGGTAAATTTGTGATTTTGTTGTTGTCCTTATAGCACTTTAAAGATGCTTGTTTTTAATTATTCTTATTATTAATGTTTCATTTCTTAGGGTAGAACCAGGGCCTCATACATACAAGGCAAATGTGTTACCACTTAGCTGTACCCCAGTCCACTGCTAACACATGGGGGGGCAGTAGTAGCAAATTCTGAGTATATTGTTTCTTATTTGTTTTGATTTCCTCTACCCATGGTCTTTTTTTTCTATGTCAGTGCTTCTTAGATTTTGTTATTGAGGATCTGCAAGGTGGCTCAATGGATAAAGGCATTTGCCACCAAGCCTGAAACCTAGATTTGATCCAGGAACACACATAGCAAAGTAGGAAACCAAATCCTGGAGGTTCTCCTCTGGCCTCCAAATGCATGCTATGGCTGACCAACACACACACACACACACACACACACACACACACACACGACAAATACATAAAAATATATTTTAAAGAGGTTTTATTCCTATTTTTCAGTCATTTGGCACAGTTATTCTAAATGTGGGTTCTTTGTGTTTATCCTATTTGGGTTTTGTTGGGTTTGACTAGAGCCCCTTAGTATCCATCAAATTTGTAGATTATTTGTTCAAATCCATTCTTTCCCATCCCCCTTCTCTTTCTGATAATACTCTTCACACACAGTAGACTGTTCTTTCTGATTTCATGCTTGTCTGAATTTTTTCCTTGTCCTGTTTCCAACTCCTTCTCCTGTACCTGTGACCTTTAATTACTCTCATTCAATGAATTGTTTTATCCTAGACACTACACTGTCCAGTCCTAAAAGTTCTGTCATTAATTTATGTTTAATATTTCTCTTTGTGTGCTCTCTATATATTAAGTCCCTCAGCGTGTTTGTGACAGTTTTCTATCTATAACAGCTCTTTGCTGATTTTTATGTCATTCCTAGACCTTATTCTGCATGTGTGTGTTTGCCTTCTTTCGGAGAGCACTGGATTTATTTTGACAGGCTGGAGATACATGCACCCTCTGGATCCTTGTAAGGCAGCTCCAGCAGCTTTTAGTATGTGGATAATCCCCTCCCCTACCTCTCTTGTATCTACCATTAAACTGAGACTGCTCTGCTATGGATGATTGGAACTTGAGCCTGTCTACATCTTGGCTCTGGGGCTGGCAAGCTTGTTGGTCCCTGTGCATTTTCCCAAGTCTCAGAGAATATGGTGGCCTTCCTAGTTCAGTGAAGTGGTTCAGAGGAGTTGCTACTCAAAGGAGCTACCACACTGTATTTGGGAGTTCTCACTCTATTCCCCCTCCCCAGTGCTCTGCCCATCAAATGTTTTGCTTTATCTGTCATGGACTCCAGTTGTTTATATCCCACTCTGGGTAAGCTCTATTTTTATTTCTGTTTTCATCTCTGTTTTTCTGCTAAAATTGCCCTCATGCGCAAACCCAGGACGACTGTGAGGCTCTTCTCCTTGGTTCCCTTCCTTCAGGAACTGTACCTCTGTACTGCACTTTGTCTAATGTGTGAAGAGGGCTGCTTCATGTATTTCATTAAGTTCTCTGTGTGTGTTTGGAGGGCAAACCCAGGAGTAGTAACCATATCATGGCTGGAAATAAAAGCCAGCTCTCCTTGGTTTTTAAATCCTTTACTTTTCTCATGGTATCTGAGCTGGCAGTACCATTGTTTCTCTTACATAAGTCTTCACATTTTCCCTCACCAACACAACCCTAAACCCTGTTACTGTTCCCCAAAGGAAGATCCCTCTGTGTGGGGCACATGTTGACTAATTAGTGAATATTCTCTGTCAAGAATTAGAAAACAGACAAAGATCAGACTACATGTGGGTGTAGGGGGTAGAGGCAGTCAGCTCTCAGCTAAATGCCACAGAACCAGGCACGCTGTCTCTGTGATATTGTCAACTTCAGGTCTTCTAGTCACATCTTTCTACAAATTCAGGACATGAGATAATCTGTTTTCACCTTCCTGACTCCAATTCTGTTATCTAGTAAGCATGAAATAAATTTCCTCTGAGATGCAAATGGTTCATAAAACTCAATCTGCTATTTCTGCTGAGAATCTTAGAAAATCCAAAGCTTTAAATTGAGAGAATGAATTACTAATTGTGGGACTCTGGACTTCAGCCAAGGGCATGGAAAGGAAATATGGAAAAGACCTGATTCCTCCCAGCTCCTCTTACCTAGTCTACAATAGGGTGGCCCTTCCACACTTCCTGCATTTGGCAGAGTGGAAGAGGGTGGCAAGAACAGGAAGGTTTTAACAGCGGTGTGGGAAGGAGGGAGAAGCACCTCAGTCTCACCACTTTGACAGCTGCATGGCCACCGCGGACTCTGGCGCCAGCCCTCTTTACCTCTCCCTTCTGTCTCAATCTGCTGCCAAGGTATCACCCCGAACCCCCAGGTAGTTGCTAGGAGAAATGGTTTGAACCTCATAGGAGCACCTAACCTGGACTATGGAAAGTGCTAATGGAGCAGACTCTGAAGAGATGGGTCAGCCATGACAAGCCAAAGCCATTTTCTGATTTGAAGCAGAATATACATCCTGGGGTGCAGAGAGCTTCCAAGTCCTCTATCAAATCATTCCTAAACCCACTGGGGACCTGATGATGTAATAAAGGACTCTGAGATGATGCGGGGAGTTGGGTCATAAAGGAGAATCAAAAAAGTAACAGTGCAACCTCAGACTGTCCTATACTCTGTCACCCAAAGTCTAACTGGAAGGAGAGGACTTCACCTGCTTTACAGTCAGTCCAAGAATACTTATGGCTGGAGTTTCCTAAAAGCCAGTAAGAGTGTTCTCTTTGAAGGTGTGAATATTTATAGTCCAAGAACAAAGTGGGACTGTGGTTAAACAAACAAATAGGCTGCATAAGAAATGAGGCAGGGTTAGAATCCGAGTCCAGCTGCAGTCGAACAGACCCAGACACTACAGGAGAAGCAGTGAAATTACCACACTGTTAGCTCAGATTCCACACATTCTCCTAGATATTTGTAGATTTCATCTGTAGTCAGCAGAGATAAAAGAAGGAACACACTTTTTATTTTTAATCCATGATAATTTTGAAATATCTATCAAGAGATGTGTGATTTGGCTAACAAAAATGTGATCATAGAACTAATTTTCTTTTTAGAAGACTCCAGAGATAGATCTTCAAGTATATTCAGGAAATGCTGTTGTCTAGCCCTAGTCATAGTCAACTGGGCTGATTGTCTCAGTTGTCTCTATGAGCCCCAACTTTGAAGAACAGTATCATTAGAATTCCTTGGGTTCCTCTTGAAAGGGTTGGATCTAGAGTTTCCTTGTGAATCCGTAACATGTTCCCAGTCCACACAGGTGGAAACCACTGAGATCTGGCCTTCTGATATTCTTAAAAGCTTTTGGTCTAGTATCAGAACACTACAAGACAATGCCCACTATTTCAAGTCAGCCTCAGCTAGTGTGAACCATCTCATTGCCTTAAACAAGGTCAGGAGAGGCCCAGGCCTGGCATTTACTGAGGGTAAGATATGATTTTCCTCTGTAGAAGACACAGTTCCTTTAGAATATCTGGCTTTTGTTCCTCTTCCAGATCTATCTTATTCATCACTGTCATGATGACCCTTCTTCACTGTATACAGCCCTGAGAAAACTGTAGTCAGAGGTGCTTCTGACCCTTAACCAAGGATGTGCCTTATGGGCACTTCAGGCCAACTAGATGTTTTCTCTTTGGTGTTTCAGACACAGTCAGAGAGTCAGCAAGGCTAGTTGTAGAGATCTATTCCCTTTGATGCAGCCTGATCAAACTAGATATGGAGTTACTAAATTCTACTACCGTGTCTGCCTCTGCTCGGGTCCATATCATTTCTACACCTGATTCCTCGGGGTGTTATGGGTTTTATAAAGCTCCAGTATCTTTCAGGAAGTTAGTTTGTTTAACTTACCTCAAACTTTTATTGTGTGCCCCAAACCATAGCATTCTTAAAGGAATCCAACCTCATTTAAGACCTACACAAATACCAAGACAGTATTCTAAGCATTCTGTGGAGGAAGAAAGTACAGAAAAGGAAAGAAAAACGGCACACCTAAAATGACAGAGAAGGGAAGAAGGAGCCAAGATGCAGTTCCGGGACAGGCTGACCCTCAGCTGCATGCTTTTAAACCATATCCTACAGAAGCCTTTCTGTATTCCAAATTTCCTTTACCAAACATTAGACAGTTTATACCCTAATTCAAGAATTTTCCTTTCTAAAACTGAATAATGAAACCCTTGCCAATTTAAAGGAAGCAATAACTTAATGGATAGCATGTTCTCAAATTTAGATTTTCTCCCCATAAATTTTTCTAAAACCTTTGGTGGCTTCTGCTGCTTGTCTTCAAGGCAGACAACAAAACAAATGAACAAGCAGCAAATGAATATTAATGGCAAAACTCAGAAATGTCAGCCCACGCTTCTCCCGGAGCTTGCTTTTGGATGCTCATGTGTTGTGATTTTATGTTGCATACCTATAATATAGTTACTCTGCTAGTAAAAATGTTCCCAGTTCAAATGGTGGAATTAAACACATTCATATTTCATAGTATTATGCAAAGAACACTAGAATTTTCAAGCTATCTGCCACCCTACAAAGCTGAAGGAAAAATCACACTAAATATGACCGACATGATGATAACTAGTCATTTTGGGTGGTGCTGCTTATATTGCCTCTAGGAAGTGCAATCCTTCCTATAAATCCAAAGCCATCAGATTTTGAGGATAAGGACCTTGGCACTTGCTGGATTCTACAAGAATAATGTCATTTGTCAGCCCAACTGCAAGGCCTGGAATCAGTTTAAGGGGCTTGAAATCTCATTTTAACTCTTGGCCCAGACACCAAGTAAAATGCCCTGGGCCTTGAGAAGGACCAGAGTATGGTGTATTTATTGGCTGAGACTACAAATCTGGTTACCTTGATGGGAATTTATAGAAAAGAGATAAAGCAAAGCCAGATTTTGCTGTTGGCCATAGATGCATCAGGTTAATAACACACAAGGTAGTCGCTTGGCCTGCAGTCTTTAGAGTGGACAGGAAGACTACCTAGCTTCTGAGGATTAATATTAGGACAATAGAATATGGACTTTGAATATTTTCCATGGCCTCCTCTCCAGCAAGACGAATAACTACTCTCATTTCACCATCTTTGCATCATGATACCTTTTACATAGATCCATATTGCTTTCAAACTGTCTTTTTCCCTAAAGAGTCAGGCCATGTATATAAACATATATAATGAATATATATGTGCACACACAGAGAAGTAAATAAATCCAGTGCATTTCCTAGTGACATGTATAAGCACACATACACACACATATATGCATGCATACATGCACACATGTGCACACAAAGACATCTATTTATTGAAAACCTCCTTTGGATCAGGAGTGGTAGTATCAGATATAATGGTGCTTCTATGTATGTAGAGCTTATTGTCCTGCATAGGAGAATGCTGATTTGGCAGAGGTCTAGCTATTTCCTACCTACTCTAAGCTCAAATAAGACTCACCATCTCCAGTTGTTGCTTGCTGGCTTTCTTTGGCTTATTGTATTCAATAAGGTAAATTTCACAATCATCTGTTGATTCTCGGCTAATTTTCATCAACTCTGTGCTGGTATTGTCTTTCTAATGTCTATAGAAGCAGTTTCAGATGGAAACCTCATAAACTGTAACATTCAGTTTTATTAATTTAGCTGGATAAAGTTTTCTGATACATATACAGGTAGCTAGACCTCAGAGAGGAGCTAGGTGTCACATTCCCTCCGTGAGTCATTCCTTTAAAGGAAAAAGGTTTCCTTTCATGGAGTTCTGTTGATTTCCACATGGTCTGAATGATTCTCTATTTTCTAGGCTCATGCCACCCACTGGGTTTGAAATCTACTTGTTCAACGTCTAGAGATGGCAAGGGAGCCCTTCCATCCCTCACTGCTGATCTTTATCACCAGGCAGACACGGGGCTCATTTTGTTTACTTCTACCAGCCATTTATATTGAGATATAATCCTACATCCTAAAAAGAGGAACACTTGATGTCCCAAATGAGCAATTCACACTCAACACTGTGTTGACATGTTCTGTGGGATGTAAAAATCTCTGTTCCAATGATTTTAGCACCATCAGCATAATTTTCTTCCACATGGTACAGGTAAATCATGGTTAAATATTGAATCATTTATCAACCAGTGCTTTGTAAGCCAGATCTTATAAAATCTCAGGAATAGATTGTGCTAACAAAGCAGCTAGCAAGCTATGATTATCAATTTTTTCCTTCCACAATCTGTTCCTCATTTAGAAAGAAAATGCTAAGGAAATTAAAAATTAGTAAGCTTTACCCTTTAATGGTGACAATCTAAGAAGCATTAAGATTTTTCTTTAGAATAAAAATTTATTTGTGGATTTATAATATAAGGGGCAGATTTAGAATTTAAGGTTCTTCTCAAAAATGGATTATAGTTCCCAATGAAAGCAACATATTTCAGAGAATATGCCTATGTTGAATTCCCAAAATGTTGGCTTAAATATTTAGGGAAAACATACTGAATGCAAAGAGTCATAGATTGACTCTGTTTTGACAAATGGTCTCATACACAGAGCAGTTCAAGAACAGAGGAGTTGATAGCTTGTCCCAGGTTCCATTGTCCATGCTTGAATGTCGTGGGCCTGATTATGGATGAGAAGATCAAAAAGTTTAATATATGGAGAGCACAGAAAATGATGAGACGAGACAACCTGGAATAGAAACTGAAAACAGCCAGTGTGAACAAATGGTTTAATGTGATTCCTCTCAATCTGAATGCTCCTCTTCTCTGTGAAAGGACAAATTAAATAATGTTTCTGTGAGAAAACAGTTATTCTTTCTATTTCAAGGCATGAAGGTCATTGATATTTCAACAAATGATGACCTAGCAATCAAAGTCGAATAAATAACTTTCTTATTCTGTATGCAGAATGCCATGCTTGCACCACCTTGACTTTGGAGATTGTTTCAGAAGAGCTAGTTACATACAGTGTAGCCAAAGAAAAATATTTGCTCTTAGGCTGTGGGAGAACAACAAAGAATTCCCTAAGCTTCTCCATCCAAGACTAGTATAAGCTCCAGGCAAGACTAGAAGCAGAGAATATGTTTTACATGAGAGGACTTTGTAGGTATAAGAGGCACACAGAAGTGATCTGGGACTCTAAAAAGACCAGAGGGTCAAAGTTAAGAGAGTCCACATCAAGCAGGATGGGCTGTTGTAGTTGAGCCAAGAAAGTAGGTTCCCATAAAAGATGACAAAATTTGGAGAAAACACTACAGTGTTTCTCTTAGCAAAACCCCAAGCTCCTATCAGGCTGGAAGTCTGCACCAGAGATAAAGGGACACAAACCACAGTCAGAAGTTGAAGCTCAGGGCCCAACAGATTCTCTAGTCTTAGCCAGAGCCAACTTTTTGGAAAAATCAAAGAACCAAACAACCATATTCTTGGCACACTGAGCTCACCTCAGGCAAACCTCATGAGAAGCTTTTAGAAGGCATCTCACACCATCTATCTAACTTAAGGTTCTAGGCCAATGCCCAAGAAAGCCAGGGA